GAGCAGCTGATGCTAGGCTGGCTGAGGCTGAGTGATGCAGGTTAGAGGCTGAGGAGGGTGAGGGCCCCAGCGAGGCTGAAGGCAGACTGAGGCTGAGGCTGAAGCAGGCTGAGGCTGAGGCTTAGGCTGAGGCTGAGGCTGAGGCTGAGGCTGAGGCTGAGGCTGAGGCAGGCTGAGGCTGAGGCAGGCTGAGGCTGAGGCTGAGGCTGAGGCAGGCTGATGCTGAGGCAGGCTGAGGCTGAGGCTGAGGCTGACGGCAGACTGAGGCTGAGGCAGGCTGAGGCAGACGCTGAGGCAGGCTGATGCTGAGGCAGGCTGAGGCTGAGGCTGAGGCTGAGGCTGAGGCTGATGCAGGCTGAGGCTTGGGCTGAAGCAGGCTGAGGCTGAGGGCTGAGGCAGGCTGAGGCTGAGGCTGACGGCAGGTGATTCCTGAGACAGGCTGAGGTGAGGCAGGAGGCTGATGCAGGCTGAGGCTGAGGCAGGCTGAGGCCGAGGCCGAGGTGAAGGCCGACCGAGGCTTTGAGCTGAAGCAGGGGGTGAGGCTTTGAAGCTGTGGTGGCTGAGGCTGAGGCTCAGGCAGGCTGATGCTAAGGCAGGCTGAGGCTGAGGCTGAGGCTGATGCAGGGTGAGGCTGAGGCAGGCTGAGGCCGAGGCTGAAGGCAGACTGATGTTGAGGCTGAAGCAGGCTGAGGGCGAGGCTGAGGCAGGCTGAGGCTGAGGCAGGCTGAGGCTGAGGCTGAGGCAGGCTGAGGCTGAGGCAGGATGAGGCTGAGGCTGAGGCTCATGCAGGCTGAGGCTGAGGCAGGCGGAGGCTGAGGCCGAGGCTGAAGGCAGACTGAGGCTGAGGCTGAAGCAGGCTGAGGCTGAGGCTGAGGCAGGCTGAGGCTGAGGCTGAGGCAGGCTGATGCTGAGGCAGGCTGAGGCTAGGCAGAGTGAGGCTGAGGCTGAAGCAGTCTGAGGCTGAGGCTGAGGCAGGCTGAGGCTGAGGCTGAGGCAGGCTGATGCTGAGGCAGGCTGAGGCTGAGGCTGAGGCTGATGCAGGCTGAGGCTGAGGCTGAGGCTGAGGCTGAGGCAGGCTGAAGGCAGGCTGAGGCTGAGGCTGAGGCTGAAGGCTGAGGCTGAGGCTGAGGCCGGAGCTGAGGCTGAGGCTGAGGCTGAGGCTGAAGCAGGCTGAGGCTGAGGCTGAGGCAGGCTGAGGCTGAGGCTGAGGCTGGCTGATGCTGAGACAGGCTGAGGCTGAGGCTGAGGCTGATGCAGGCCGAGGCTGAGGCAGGCTGAGGCCGAGGCTGAAGGCAGACTGAGGCTGAGGCTGAAGCAGGCTGAGGCTGAGGCTGAGGCAGGCTGAGGCTGAGGCAGGCTGATGCTGAGGCAGGCTGAGGCTGAGGCTGAGGCTGATGCAGGCTGAGGCTGAGGCAGGCTGAGGCTGAGGCCGAGGCTGAAGGCAGACTGAGGCTGAGGCTGAAGCAGGCTGAGGCTGAGGCTGAGGCAGGCTGAGGCTGAGGCTGAGGCAGGCTGATGCTGATGCAGGCTGTGGCTGAGGCAGGCTGAGGCTGAGGCTGAGGCTGATGCAGGCTGAGGCTGAGGCAGGCTGAGGCTGAGGCTGTGACTGCGTTTGCCGTTGCCACTGCGACTGTCATCGCGAATGCGACTGCGACTGCGAGAACAGCAGAATTCTACAACTGGATTCTCATCTGAAAATTCAGGGGAATGCTTCCAGATATGCTCCTACACATCGCTGTTAGGTTGCTTTGCCGGGATGATTCGATTGGGCCGCCGACCCCACGTTCGGGACGTATTGGGCCGTGGCAAAGGAATGGTCGTCCAAGCCACGGGCGCCTGTGCCTGATCCTTTTGGTGACAGGGGGGATGCATCGTCGACGGCTACATCCTCAGGCCGGTCTGTGTTGCGCGCGGGTGGGCGCGGAGAAAACCCCATTTCAGGACGTGGCTCACGGTGGTGGAGGACGAGGGGGCATTCCTGATGGAGTTCGATTGGCGCGGGGCGACAGGCAAGCCTGTCGACGATGATTCCCACCGGAATGTGATCCGGACCCGGGGAAATCAGGCCCCTCGTGCCCCCGCCCATTTGGTGGCCGAAATTGACAGGGGAAAGAGTTCGCCTCGACAGGGGCCTCGCTCCAAGGCGATCGCCTGCACAAGCCGCGAGTTGCAGGCTCGCTTGGAACGGGCCCCCGCGAAGGCGGTGCACCTCTGTCGGGAAGGGTGCCCTAGCCCCAGGTGGCGCGGGGCGCCCACGGGGGGCGGGATGCCCGGCGGACCCCTTCACGAGAACGGGCAATCTGAAGTGCGTGGGCGGCTTTCTTCAGGAGAGCGGTGGAATTCGAAGCGCAGCCCCCCCGAGATGGCGCTCCGAAGTTTACGGGGACCCCCCCCCGGAGGGAGGGCCTTTGCGGGGCCACGAGGGAACGGGGAGGGCCAGGGCGGCCCCGATGACCCCCAGATACCTGCGAACGTGACCCCCTTTTCCTGAAGGTCCTCCTCTGAGTGTTCCCCCTGGGGGCTCCAAGCCCGCCAGGGCCACACTTCGTTGCGATGCAACTTGTCTGCTCGTGTGCATGCACATGCTTGAGTGTACTATAGCCACTGTGGGTCAGACCAGCGCGCCACCCTGGGGACTGCGGGCGTTCTCGGCCATAGCAGGAGGCGAGAGAAAAAGCTCGATCCCGCTCGCGAGTCGGATTCGCAGTGGCTTGAGCCAGGTGCGAGTGAGGAGGAGGTGGTCGAACAGGAGTTCATCACCACAGATGACGGACGGGGGCGGCTTCAACCAGAAACGATTCAGCGGGGACGGCAACGACGGCGCGGCGGCCTGCAAGGTGTGGAAGAAGTGGGCCAAGGTGGCGATCGTGGTGCAGAAGGCCAAGAACACCCCGGCCGAGGCGCTCGGCCCGTGTCGGTACACGTTGTTTGACGGCCATGCAGCGCTGGCGGTGGAGAGCGTGGACTTGACAGACATCAACGTTGAGTCGGGCGAGGAGGTGGTGTTCGCGCGCCGCGACGAGAGATTCCCTGGCAAAGTTGCAGCAGATCGTTTAGGAGAAGCCATGGAGGAGGGCTTCAGCCTTCGCATCCAAAAGAACGAGACGACAGAGGCCTACACAGGACGAGCCCAGCTCGTGTACGCCCGCCTGGCCAAGGAGGGCGTGGACCTTCCGCCGGTGGCCAGGGGCTACCTGATCCTGCGCGGCGCGAGGCTGGGCAACTTCGGCAGGGCGACGATCATGTCGGCGACGCATCGAAGCTGGCACGCGGGCGAGATCTGCGCGGCGATCAGGACAGCGTTCCCGGGGGTGCCCCCGTAGAGGCTCACGCAGGCGGCGTGCGCGGCGGGGGGGGAGCTCGACAGCGAGGTCCCGCAACCGCCCGAGCCCTACCAGGAAGAGGGCGCCGAGGACGATGTCACCCAGGAGATTGACGCGATCGTCCAGGCGGCGGAGCCCATCGAAGAGTCAGATGCAATTGAGATCCTGGCGACCTAGAAGCAGACGCGGGTGGCCATGAATAAAGAAGAACTGGACAGAGGATTGAGGCCTGGGTGGATGCCCCGGCCGGCGGGAGCAAGTGGACCAACGCGTCAGGATCTCGACAAGCTCGGAAGACGCGTGAAATGTTCCAGGCGCAAGAATTAAGGTCGGCCGTTTCAGCGGGGACTGCAAAGAGCAGCGCGCAGCTCGCAGATGGTCATCGCCGAGCTGGTGGAGCCCTACAGCGAAGAAGTGATGGCGCAGGCAGCGCAGGATATCGCGCAGGTGGAGTACGACCTGGACGACGAGATCAACGGCATCCTGAAGGTTCATGAGGACAACGTGATGGCGAAGCTCATCCAGGAGGAGCGGTGGAAGAGGCTGGGGCACGAGATGGAGGAGGACCAGGAGGTGAAGGCCAGGGAGGAGGGCGAGGTCCTGGGCGTGACCCACTCAGACGGCTGCTCGGCGCCAGACACGGGCTGCTGCAAGTCCCTGATCGGCGCGGAGACGTTGGCGAAGCACGATGCGGCGACGGGCAAGAAGGCGCGATGGCTCAAGGGCGTGAGGCAGATGCGATTTCGCGGCTTTGACAACAGCGTGCAGGGGTCGATCGGCGCCGTCGAGCTGGACTGGCTGATCAAGGGCTACCAGGTGACGTTCGTGGTGCACGCGGTGCCGGGCGCGGCCGGCTTCCTGATGAGCAAGCCTGACCTGAAGGATCTCGGCGCGGCGATCGACCACGAGACGGACTCCCTGTATCTGAAGAAGCTTGACATCACCGCGCCGTTCAATGAGACGGCCGCAGGACATTACGAGGCCGACTTTCTGAATCGGGAGAAGAGGACGCGTCGCCAGATCCATGAGTCATCAGTGCGCGCGCAGAGAGGGGCGAATGATGACGGGGCCCCATCCTCGGCAACTTTTCAGTAGGGCCGGGCCGGAGCCCACAGGCCGGGAGGACGGTGACTGAGCTGTTCCCCCCACCGCGGATTGGGCCAGTCGCGGTGAGGTCAGGATTCAGTGAAGGTCCGAGCCTCGACTGGGTGAACGGCTGGGACGCGGGCAGCGGTGACGATTACGACGCCACGTGGAAAGCGCATCATTGAGGACGAGCCGTACTTCGTGCATATGTGCCCTCCGTGCCAAAAGCTCTCGATCACGCAGCAGTGCATGCCGCTGGAGCGTCGGGCGAACCTGGCGCGGCACTTCGACGACGTGAGGTGGGCGGGGAGCTTGGTGCGCGTAGTCGTCGAGGTGGCGATCTACCAGTTAGAGCGAGGCAGGCACTTCGTGTACGAGACGCCCCCCAGATGTGCGAGTCTCCAGGTCCCCGTGATGAGGCAGTTGTTGGGGGTGCCTGGGGCGTGCGCGGGCGTCGCGAGCGGTTGCGAATTTGGTCTGAGATGCCCGGGCTCTCGGCGGACACGAGCATCAGCACTGGGAAGGAATACTGAAGTGCGGGATGAAGCGCACGGTGTTCAGCCAACGACCCCCCCCCCAAGGCTGGCGCAGGCTATCGCGCGGGGCATGCGACGGCAGTGCCAGGTGGAAGCGCCCAGCTCCGAGACTGGGCGCTGCGCAGTGCAGGGCGAGGGGGGCGCTGAAATTATTGAGGAGGACGCGGACGAGACGAGGGATGTCTCACGTCGGCCTCGCAGTTCAATCCAGAACAGCCTCCGAAAGCTGCACGTGCAACTAAGGTATTGCAAGAACAACGTGTTGGTGCGACACCCTAGGCATGCGCGCGCCACGGAACAAGCGATCACGGCGGGCCACGAGTTTCACGGTCCAGAGTGCGAGGGGATGAAGTGTCCAAGGGTGGCTCGGCACAGCGCCCCGGCCGAGGCGCATCTCCCCCTCGAGTGCGTGAGCATGGACTGCAAGGACATGCCCGGCTGGATCGCCGGGGAGGGGATCGCGCGACTGGGCATCATCGACGAGACGAGCTCGCTGCACCAGGTAGAACCAATCATCGGCATGGCGGAGACATAGAGGAATCTCATCGAGGCGTTCACTCGGGCGTGGGTTCGCCCATGCATGAGGCCGAAGTGGTTGAAGGTGGTTCCTCATGGGGCGCAGGTGAGCGACGAGTTCACCAGCTGGCGCGAGCGTCAGGACATCGAGGTGGCTGACGCAGCAGGAGAATGGCAAGATCGAGCATCGCAACCAGCTGTTCGAGATGATGTTGGAGGACCTCATCCGGGAGGCGCAGCCCCAGACGGAGACCGAGCGGCGAGAGTGCGTGACGGAGCTGGTACTGGCCAAGAGCAGCCTCCTCTCGGCGACAGGGATATCACCGATGCGGATGGTGTTCGGTCGCAACCCAGAGCTTCCAGGCTGAAGGATAGCCCAGACACGATCACCAACAGTGCGATCGTGAACGACCCGATCGCGGCGCAGCAGGCGCGGGCGAGAACGATTGCCCGCATGAAGGTACTCATCCAGCAGGACAAGTTGGCGGCACGGCGAGCGCTGGACGCTCGACCGAGAGTGGTGGCCAAGTACCTGCCTGGCGACATGGCGGCTGCGTGGCGCATGGTGAAGAACAAGGGCATCCCTGGGGAGCGAGCGCACCACAGATGGAGGCCAGGCATCTGCATGGGCGAGGTGCGAGGCAACCACTGGGCGGCGCTGCCGGGCGCGGTAGTGAAGGCGTCGCCCGAGCAGATGAGACCAGCAGTGCGAGAAGAGCGACGTGCGTGGCGCGTGGTGGAGGCAGAGCTGAGGACCAAGATGGTGGACCTGGAGCACTACAGCGGCCAGAGGTTTGAGGACATCGCGGGCGGCGAGCGGCTGCCCGAGGCGGCTGCGGAGGAGGCCACTCCTTCGAGCCCGGCAGCCCCCGAGCCGGCTCATCCTGGGGACTCTGAGAGGGTCTCAGGCGAACAGGACACAGCTGGTCACCCTGATGGCCCTGAGAGGGCCTCGGCCGAACAGGAAGCAGCAGATGATGGCGAGGCAGGACATCCACCAGAGAGGCGACGCCTGCGAGGCAAGCAGACCGTGGACAAGCGGACGTTGGACGAGGCGCACATGCCGGAAGAGGGCCAGATGGCGGACCGCCAGGAGCAGGAAGAGGTCAAGTGCCCCAAGTGGGGGGGGCCGATGACCGTCGACCACCAGGGCGGCAGCCAGAGCGCGGCCAGCGGACAGCAGGTCGGCGGGATCGTCTATCCTCCGAGCTTGCCAAGTCCGCCGCTCATCGACTCGGCGGACGCCCACCTGGCGGAGGAGGTGGGCGAGGCCATCGTCGCGGGCGCCGCGGACGTTCTGCTCACGCAGGGGGGCAAGGATATCAACCTGAAGGGTGAGAGAGGTGGACGTCGCTCGAGGGTCGCGCCATGATCGAGAAGGCGCACGAGATGGAGATGGGGAGCTTGGTCCACGAGACCAAGGGCTGGAGGCCCGTGGACCTGGAGACGTCGAGGCTGCTGAAGACTCAGGTGCCGGAGCGGATCTTGCGCCCGAGACCCGTGCTGACCATGCGTCGCGGCGATGACGGCGAGGACGAGGTTAAGTGCCGGTGCACGCTGCAAGGCTTCAAGGACCCGGACATCCTGGACCTGGTGCGCGAGGGTCGGACGGCAAGCCCCACCGTGTCCACCAACGGGCGGGCTATGCTTCTGCAGACGCTTGCATCATGCAAGTTCGAGATGACGATCGGCGACGTGTAGTCGGCGGTTCGAGTGGCAGAGCCGGAGGCGGGGCCGAACGGCCCGATCTATGTGACGATGCCGAAAGACTACACGATGAAGGGCCACCACCCGGAGCAGCTCTTCGAGGTGGTCAACGGGTACGGGTTGGGATGCCAGCCTCAGCAGTGGTGGCGCACGTTCAAGCGGTTCATGGTGGAGGGGCTGCAGTTTGACCAGCAACCGATGGACCCGTGCGTGTTCCTGCTGAGGGAGCCAGTGCCGAAGGAGAGCGCCCACCCCGTGGCCAGGGACCGGGCGCCGGTGATCCCGTGCGCCACGGGGCCTGAGAGTGCCCAGCTCCGCGGCGAGCCGGGTGCGCTGCGCGGCATCCTCGGAGTGCATGTCGATGATCAGGTCAACGGCGGCCGTGGCCAGCTGTGGACCAGTGCGACGAAAAAGCTGAGAGCGAGGTTTCCTTTTCGTAAATGGGTGACGGGCAGTGGGGAGTCCACGGGCTCGGTCTTCACTCAGCGAGCTGACTTCTCGATCGCCCAATCGCAGTCTGACTATGCCAAGGGGGTCAGCCCAGCCAAAACGAGGAGATCGGCCCGACCTGACGGCGTGGCGTTGCCGATCGAGGTGCGTAACAATAGTTCGACTACTCAGCAAGGGAATTGGCTTGCAGGTCAGAGGAGGCCCGATTTGAGTTGCCAGATTTCGTCTTCCCAGCAGATCATGCCGAACCCAACGGTCGGCCAGATTCGGAGATCGAACGCATTGGTGAGGAGAGCGAAGCATTTCCGCGAAATATCGGTCACCTTCCTGAGCATCCCTGCAGAGCGTCTTCGTTTCGTGTGTCACTCGGACTATTCCTCGAAGGATCTTGACGGGGCCGTTAGGACGCAGGGCGGGCACATGATTGGTGCAGCGGACCCTGCTACGGCGAGGGGCCTCTCGGCTCCCAGGTGCCTTCTGGTTTGGAAGTTTCAGAAGACCAAGCAGGGGTGTACTTCTACGCTGGCAGGGGGGAGCAAGCTCCTGAAGGCCTCCTTGGGACACCTGGAGTGGATCACGTGCGCTTTCGCGGCCACCCTGTACCCCGTGTTCTGTTTAGAGAATCGGGACAAGTATTCCAAGAAGCTTTCAGCGATTAGCGCCATAGATTGCAAGTCGGCGTTCGATCGCGCGACAACGCCTCGGGCCCCAACCGGACTCGACGACAAGAAGGCCTCCATAGACATCGCCATAGCCAAGGGAAGCCTCCGTAGGTTTGGCGGGGCGCTTCGATGGGGCCCAACAGAGCTCATGCTGGGGGGCGCGCTGACGAAGGATCGGGCGGAGGCTGGCGGATGTTCTGCGAGCGTGCCTGAGAGCGTCGGCCTACCAGCTGGCTGATGAATCGGTCACATTGGCCAGGGCTCAAGCTGAGAAAGCGGCTCGCGCTTGCCGCGCCGGTGCTCCTGCTCCGCCTCCTGCGCCGGGCAATGATGATGTTCGAGGTGGCTGGGCGAGACGACCAGGCCAGGGTGTTCATGCTCGGGCTGTCGGACGTTTACCCGGAGGAGTCGTCGGCCGAGATGTCGCTGGCCTGGGCCAGGGTCAAAGTGCTCGCCAAGGCACTTGTGGCGGAAGCTCCGGCCAAGAGGGGTAACGCGCAGGTGACGCTGCAGTACGTGGCCAACACGGGGAACGCGCAGGTGTGCACCACCGCCGAGCTGGAGGACGAGGTGCGAGAGGTCTTCGTGAAGCTCGAGAAGATGCGCGTCAAGTGGCAGAGTGCTCCGATCGACGACAAGCCGAAGCTAGAGATGAAGTGTCCTGCGGCGGAGTTCTTCCGCATCAAGACGGAGAAGCCGGTCAAGCAGCAGCGGCAGCAGGAGAAGGAGAACGAGGCGACCACGCTGAGCCTGCCGAGAGACGAGGGCTACGCCGAGGCGATGGACACGATCCTGGAGAACGTGGTCTGGTTGCTGGAGGGTTTTCCCGTCATGAGGGACCGCGTCCTGGAGGTGCTGAAGCCGTTCGCCCCTGGGGCGGACCTGGCCCCCGTGGGCTCCCCGTGGGGCCGGGGCGTGGACTGGATGATGGGAGGAGACGAAACCTGAGACGCGGTGAGGAGCACGAGAGAGAGGGGGAGAGAGAGAGAGAGAGAGAGAGAGAGAGAGAGAGAGAGAGGGAGAGAGAGAGAGAGAGAGAGAAAGAGAGAGAGAGAAAGAGAGAGAGGGAGAGAGAGAGAGAGAGAGAGAGAATAAAATAGAGAGAGAGGAGGAATAACACAATAAAAAAAAGTGCGAACGTGACCCCCCTTTCCTGAAGGTCCTCCTCTGAGTGTTCCCCCTGGGGGCTCCAAGCCCGCCAGGGCCACACTTCGTTGCGATGCAACTTGTCTGCTCGTGTGCATGCGCATGCTTGAGTGTACTATAGCCACTGCGGGTCAGACCAGCGCGCCGCCCTGGGGACTGCGGGCGCTCTCGGCCATAGCAGGAGGCGAGAGAAAGAGCTCGATCCCACTCGCGAGTCGGATTCGCAATACCCCCACCGCCTCCGACGCCAGAGAACAGGGTGAGGGCCTGGGAGGCCACCCCCCGAGCAGGGGCGGACCGGGCCTGTGCTGGGCTCTCGCCAGCCACCAGGGCTGCCAGACCGATGAGGGCACCTGCGCGCACGCCCATCGGCTCTCGAAGAAGACCCGTAAGTGATGCTACTGAGGGCCATCCGTCATGCGGATGTGTTTGCCCAGCTGCACCGTCGGTGTTTTCCTGGGGACTTGCTGCAATGCTCGCTGTGACCCCCCCTGCTTGCCTTTCTGTCCGCGAACGTAAATACGCTGCGGGTCTCGGGAAATTCGCCGCGAGGCTCGCGACGCGTTCAGGCGGGGCCGGCTGGACCCCCCCTTCCCTCCAAAACGACCGGACCTGGCCCCGGGGGAGGGGTTTGGGGGGGGGGGCATCTCGCGCGCCGATGACCGCAAGGGATCGGCGAATTCTCGGCGGGGGTCGATTGCCTCGCGCGCGCGCCCGCGCGCAGCTGTCGGGCCCGAAGGGCCCTTGCAGCCGAGCAGGGATTCGGAGCTTCATCCTTCCATCTCGGCGCCCCCCCACGCCGCCCAGCGCGCGACGCCGCCCCTGCGCGATGCTCGCCGGGGGCCGGCCGAGAGCCCCACCCGCCCGGCGCCCCCGCTCGCGGCGCCGCCGCGATCCCCGCAGCCCCGCCGCCGCTGGCATCGCCGCCGCCGCCCCGGGGAGGGGGCGGTTGGGCGCGGCGCGGCGGCCTTAGCACCGCCAGGCGCTCACCCTCGCATCGCCCCTCGCTCTGAACTCGCCCTCAAGGGGGTCGGCGTCGCGGGCGGCGTGGCGGGCCCAAACATCCGCGGTGAGATCAACGCGGCCATGTCGAACACCGGCCCGCGGGCGCTTGCGGTCGAGCAGGGCCGCCGAATCGCCCGGCTCATTCTGGGGCGCATCGTCGACGACGCCGAGGTCGCGGCCCTTTTCCAACCTTCTTCGTCGCCCCGTGGATCTGGAGGGTTTGGACGCACTGGCAAGACGTTCCTTAACCAAGACTCCACCGCAAGAGGGAGATAGGCGGCGCGACTTCCGAGAAGTCAATCGTTGCCTGTGGCACCGAAGGCACCAAGGAGCTGCCTCGCCTGCCAGGCCGGCCCGCCAGGCTGGCCCCCGCCGACTTGCCGCGCCAGCAGTGGGCAGCAGTATTGGGACGCCCCCGCCTGGGTCCTAGGACGAGGACGGGGCACATCACTAGACCAACAAGATCCCCGCTTCGACGTCTTCCGCACCTCTGATTTCGAGGGCCTGATCAAGTCGTTGTCCGAGCATGCGCCCCCCAGCACCAGCTACAGCGTGATGTGGCTTCGTGCGACGCGGATAGGGGCAAGGACCACTTCGCCTTCGACTTGTCCTAATTGGCGCGCCAGGGTCGAGGTCGCCGACACCTGGATAGAGGTCTTCGGCCGCCATGGCTAACAGTGGAATCGACCAGCCGCACGGCAGATGATCGACGCGCACGTGCTCCACTCCATCGCGCGTCGGGCTGGCCACAGGCCTTCGGTCCTATTTGCAAAACGCAGCAGCGTTGTCTTCGTGGCGATCACCGGGGCGCCCATCTACAACCAGTTGAGGGGCGCGTCGACGACTGTGCGAACATCGACCGACGAATGCATCTGGCCCTGTGCCGCGAAGCGTTGCAATTTGTACCCTGCTGCAGTTGCGCTCCAACCAGCAAGTTCGCATCGAGGAAAGTGCACTTCACCGAGGCACGACGGAAGTTTGTTGACCGACTTTGATTGCATTTCCCAGTCCCTTGGCAAAACGCAAGAGGGACACCCAGCAGCGCGCGCAGGGAGCAGGAACACGTGCACTCAAACACCTCCATTGTCCCAAACCGCTCTTCTGGACAATTGCATTCAAATACTGAGGACCACAAGCACGAATAACCATTGGAGGCGTCTGGCGACTGCGTTGCGTCACCAGCGCCTGCCCAACGGCAGAGCACATACGCCGGAAGGCGAAGTTGCAGGAGGGCCATGCGCCGCAGACGCGCAAGCAGATCGCCAAGGGCAATAATTGCGATGACTGCGGCTCCAACCTCCATGGCCTGGTCCTTTTCTTCTCTTGGCCCTTCCAGCCTTTGGAGACT